GCACCACCCCGCCCCGCTCACCTCCACATGCCGTTCAACAATAGAAAAGAAGATGATTAATCGCGCTGCTGGAACTGGGTCGCCGGACTCGAGTGAAAACTAAGGAGGACGCGATAAAGAAAAAAAGTTTGACGGCGGCAGTGTGGTGGCCGGGCTGGCCTTCGGCTTGCCTTGCGCTCGCCTTCGGCCCTTCGTTACGCGGACATTGTACTTGCAAACACTTTGGCGCGACCGTTTTTACGATTTTTACCCCCCGGACCGCGCAAAACTGCCGCAGTATTCTAAACACTTGCGAACAATTTCACCCCCTGCGACGCACTCCTCGCGAGCAGATAGACTCGAAAACTTTCTTGCCGCCAGCCAGCCGGCCCCGCGATGTATATGTATGTGTGTATTCTCGCGCGCACTCGAAATGAAATACTGGCGAACCCACTCTGGGCAAAGAGGTACACAGTCCCGCAGCGCCCGCAATGGCTCTGTGTCATCGATGCGGCCCGCGGTGCGGCCCGCGGTGCGGCCCCACCGTGGGGCTCCCCGTTGGCGTGCGCGACACGCCGTCCGCCAACTTCCCTTTCATACCTGATTTGCCTAGGTGCGGCACACGGTTCGTCCCGAATTAATAGAAACTGTACAGTGGAGGCGCACAAGCCCGTCATCAGGACCACCAATACGGTCCGTCCGTCTGCCGTCCGCCGCGCCTTTTCCCAAAGGGGCGTGGCGGAGCGGGGGGGGGGGGGGGGGGGGGCAGGGTCCCAATCCCTAAAGGCTCTTTGACAAGGAACATCCATTTTCGGCCCGTGTGTCGTGGTCGTGGTCGGGTCTTCGGCCACCTCGCGTCCGCCGCGAAACCCGCAACCATCCGAACCACTCACTCCGTAGGACTAGCCCGGCACGGGGTGGGCGTTTGACTTGACAGAGTATATTATCTAAAGCAAGGAGAATATTTTCCATGGTATAAAAAGTGCCATGTCACATCTTCAATAGACACAGTGTCAGTACAATTGGCTACTTTTTTTTAGAGATTTAGTCGCGTTTCGATCAACATTACGAGGCTGCGGTCAAAGCGTTGCTGAGGAAGGTTCAGGCAGCAGCAGGCCACTGAGGGTGCGAGAGAGAGAGAGGGAGAGCAAAGAGAGGCTGCGGCACAGCGCCCAAATTTCAAATGCAACTCAAATATTCATGTCGGTCGTGAATAAGTATTTCAGCCGTTGAAATCGGCCTGAATCAGCCTCACTAGTACTCGCGAAAAGTCTGCCGGCCTGGAAAAGGGCATTGGGTGATGAAGTACAGTACAGCGAAGGAGATTCCGTCCGCTGCTTCGCTGCTCCGCTGCGCGCGTTCGTGGTGGTCCACGTGAAGCGCCCGGCCTGCCCTTGCCAATAAAAGCAGCGCTCAAAACAAAAATACGAGCATTAGTTTCCATTTCTACATTGCCAGAGAAAGGGGTGAACCCTGGTGCCGGATGACGCTAAGCTTTCTCCGTGTCCCTGTATACATTATCATTTTATTTATAGGTTCCTCTCTCGGGTGGCGCGGCGGCGCGGCGGCAGACCAGCGACTTTCTTTGCCAAGAACGCCGACTGCCTCGGCTGCTTTCCGGCGGCGGGCTGGCTGGGCGGGCTGGGCGGGCTGGGCTGGGCCGCGTGACGGGGCGTGGCGTGGACAGGGCAGCGCGGCGCGGCCAGCCTGCCGCCGCCCCCTCATCCGTGAAAGATCTGACAATTACAAATGAGGTTTACAGTAGTTGCCCCCGAAACTTTGCCTCCTTCCTCCGGGCCCTGGCGGCCCTGGCGGCGGCCCTGGTCCCGCCCCTGCTGCCGGTCCTCGCGCGCCACTGAGAAAGTGGACGAAATGAAGATGGTCGGATCTGGGGCAAGCAAGGCAAGCAAGGCAAGCCGCCTGGCTGGACCGACCGGGGAGGGTCGCCTCGCCAAGCCCATCCATGGCCTGCAGGAAGACCCCAGCCCGCGAGGTGTGGTCCTGGTGCTGGTGCTGGTCCGGGGTCCGGCACAGCGCGCACTTCCGGCGGGCTGTCTCACTCGCGACCCGACGGGACGTTCCCTGAGTGCGAGGGAGAGACCTCCCTCTCGGAATCGGTCCGCAGGTCACGTCGTAGTACCGGTTATTGAGAGCGCCGTGCCGGCGTGCCGCCGTGCCGCGTCGGAGGGCGCGTGATATGAGCAGCGGACGGAATGCCAGCCCAGTGCGGGGCGAGCGGGGCACAGTGGACCAGAAGACCGGTGGAGGCGGCCCAAACTCTAGATCTTACGTCTCTAACCTTTGCACAGTGCGGTGTTCGAATACCAGCATCTCAATTTTTTTTCGACTGGCTGTCTTTTGGGGATCGGTTTGAACAACAGGCCCACACGTCGGAGATTCAACTCCTAATAACAAATACGTATGTGCCCTGCTTAAAGCGTCGTTCCTGCCTTCCTGGGCTTCGGTGGAATGCATCATGTAGACTTCTACACTCCCATCGAGCTGTATTAAACTTTTATGGTTTTTGGTTGACATAATGAGCCATCCCAAAAGTTTGGTCAAAATAGGTTAGGTCTAGTTTTTGCCGAGTTAAAGGTAGGTCAAAACGCGTCTAGAATTTTGGCCGCCGGTGCTCTGGCCCACTGTGCGGGGCGGCCGGCCTTGGTCCAGCTCCAGCAGCTCTAGCCATGCAACCCCGACGTCGCCATGGCCGTATGCCGCCAAGATGAATGAGGAACAAACTTGGAATAAGATTACATGTATTGCTTTCCAAAAGAATAATTTATTCCGGGCTGGGCTAGCGGGGCTAGCTGGGCTAGCTGGGCCGGCTGGCTGGCCGGTCAGGGAAAGTTCCGCCCCGCATCCTTTGCCCGCCTTTATCCCTTGCGTCCCGCCGGCCTGCCCCCCCCCCCCCCTTTCCACATCCCCGGCGTATCCCAGCGGCGTGACAGCCAGCGGCCCCACCAGCAGCCCGACGAGGCAAGCCACAAAAAATAAATAAATCCGAGATTGAGAGAATTTTTTAAATTAAAATACGGGCTTATGATCACACACAGGGTCCGGGGGGCTTTCCATTTTTATTTTTATTTGTTTTACTGCACAATTTTTTTTTTGAGAGTGTGTTCCTTCATGACGGTAAGCGTCACGTGGATGACATGAAAGATCGGTGATCGAATTTCGCGGCACCCCTTGTACGACGCTGCTCGCCGTTTAGGAGATACGGGAGCCGCGCGGCCGCGATCCGGAACGCCGTCTTCATCTTCGTCCTCGTCGTCGTCGTCGTCGTCGTCGTCGTCGTCGTCACGGAGCCCGCGCGGGTTATGACGCGGGGGGCGTTTCGCGGGCCGACAATCTGGGCCAGTGCACCACCGCGCCAGCAGCGCCACGGAGCCAACCGTGCGGCACGCCCGGGCACGCCCTGGAACGCGTGCGGCGTTGTGGCACGCCGGCAACGCCACGGCAACGCCACGGCGTGGCAGGCGGGGCGAGCAGCAGGGCCGAGGTGTCCGCCCTTTACGAGCGGCAAGGCGTGGCGCGGCGTGGCGTGGCGCGGCGTGGCGCGGCGTGGCGGTGGTGACCCCCAAGAGCACCACCGTCGCGTCACCCCGCGAGATACACGCAGTTTTGCGCCGGGGGAAGGGGTGGCCCGGGGTGGCGAGGGCGCGAGCGGGAAAGCCCCCTTTTCTTGAGGTCGTGCCGTGAAAAATGTCGTGAAAGAGACTCATTGCCCCCCAGCCCGCCGGAGGCCCGCTCGAGGCTCCCAGGCTCATGAGCAATAACAAATGTTGCTTGTTTGCTCCCCGTTTTTTCCCCTCTCTCGTTTCTTCCTAGCGACATTTTCTTCTTCTTCTTTAGTTTTTCGCGTGACAGGCACAATTTTTCCGCATTCGGCGGCGTGTGGTTTTTGTGCGGCGCCTTCTTCACAGCTTTCGGCTGCCAAAAAATGCGATCGAGCAGCCACGGCGAGGCCACCGCGTGGCGCGGGTGGAAAGTATGCAGAAATGAACAATGGGTTTTGTGCTCCAGGCTCTAGGAAGGCAAACCGACCGGCCGACTGACTGACTGAAGGGCCGAGGGGCGCGGGGCGAGGCGCGGGGCTGCGGGGGCTCCACGGACGCTTGGCCAGTGCCCGGGGCGGGCTGCCAGGCAATCAGTCATACCCCCTACCCCTCCCCCCTCCCAACCCCGCTGCCATACAGCACGGAGCTAAGGAGCCAAAGAGAAGGATTTCGAGGGGTAATAGGGGCGGGGGTGCCGGGTCGTTAGGAGAGGCTAAACATGTCCACATCCGCGCACCGACACTCCGCCTCGCCTCGCCCCACAGCCCCACTGAGTTCCGCCAGGGCCGCCGTGGCCGCCGTGGCCGCCAGGACCCCACCCCGCGCCGCGTCGTGGCTGAGGATGGTGCCGCGTAGCCGCGCCGGGATATCGTGCTCCGGTTGGCCCCGGAAAGCCGCGCGCTGTGCAGATCTCGCGCCGTCCGGGTGGTTCCGGAGCCCTCCAGCCTCCGCGCCACGCCGCGCCACGGCGCGCCAGGCCACGCCAGGCCACGCCAGGCCACGCCGCGCCCCGGTCGCGTCGCGTCGTCTTGGCAAGCGCTGGAGAAACTTCCGCAACGTTACCCGAGCCGGAATATTTCTTGGTTTTCACTAAAGAGGCGGCACGGAGTGAGGGAGATGGGGAAACAGGCAGCGCTGATAGGGCAGGCCAGGCCGCGCGGGCAGGGCGCGGGCAGGGCGCGGGCAGCCGAGCGATTTCCAACACGACTTGGTCGCTCTGTCTCTCTCGCACCCCTACGGGACGCTCCACGAGTGCGAGGGAGACGGAGACAGTGCGTCAGTGTGCTTGGCGGGAACAAGCTGTGGGGTCGTCCATCACGCCACGGCAGCCACGGCTCTGTAAATGAGACCCCGCTCCCGATGCGCCTGGAGCCCGAAGCGCCTGGAGCGCCTGGAGCGCCTGGAGCCTCTAGGCCGGCAGTGCTCTGCGATAACAAGGAGCCAGGCCAGGATCTTGCCTACCTGTAAGAAGCAGCAGCGACACCAGCGTCTGGAGCAGCGGGCCCGCGGGGCTGGCCTGTTGCGACATCTTGACCTGGAAAAGCGAAAACAGACCGTCAAGAGGGCACAAGAGAGCACAAACAAGGAGGCTCCGTGGAGAAGGAAAAGGACCGCCAGCGAGCGGAGCGCTGGCGCTGGCTCGCGCTGCCCGCCGCGCGCCGACGTTTGAACCGAGGCGCGTTGCCGCCGCCGACCCCGCGCGCCGCGGTAGTTCCGGAGCGCGCCGCTAGAGGGCAGCGCGTTGCGCCGCCGCCGTGCGGACGGCTTTTCTCGCTTTGAACGGTAGTCCGTTCAAGGCACCGACTTCCCGCGCGGAGGGGCGGAAGATGGCTTTGTTCTTGGTGCACCGAGCACAACAAGAGCCCCCGGGAGGTCACGGCTTGCTGTTTGGTGCTGCGTGGACCTTCTCTCGCGGTGAACGCTACGGGCCGCGAAAGATGTGGTCACCAGCTTCGGCGCAGTCGAGCTTCGTGCCTTAAACTAATGAGTAAGGAAAATACAGAGCCCTGGTGACGCTTGGCTCCGCTAACATGCATTAGTTACAACAATTTTTGAAGGAGTACAGGCCGTCCTCCCGGCAACCCGCCTACTTTCGCGGGTAGCTGGAGTGAAGCGGTCTGCTCCAATAATCTTGGGGCAGGAGTGGAGGGAGGAAAGTAGGTTGACTACATTGGGATTCTGTGCAAAAATACCATACGCCACACACCGGCATTTTGTTGAAGTTATACCAGTTAGGGACGCTTTATCAGTTTGGAAAAAGTATTCTGCTCGTCGCTGACGTGAACAAATGACTTGCTGGAAGGTAAGCAGCTCGCGGCGTGTCGGGCGGCGTGTCCTGGAACAGGATGCGACGCCAAACTTTTCCAGGAGCGGGACGAGGAAGCCAGGCCGGGGCCGGGGGAAGGCGGCGGGGGGCACGGGTGTTGCTTCGGGTCCCGTGCCAACCAGTGCCAACGGGCCGCGATCCCAAAGAAGCTCAAGCCCCGGGGCCCGAAGAAGGATCACATGCAGCGCCTGCGCCGAGCCTGCGCTCATTCGCCCATTCGCCGCCCGCCGCCCGGGACAGGCCGACCGGCCGAACGGGCTCGCCAATGCAAATCGGAGCCAAACGGCCGAAAGAAAAAAGACACGGCCTTTCTGTGGGGAGGCATGTTGTCCCACAACGAAAATGATGGATAGACGACGACGGCGACCTCGCGTCATCGCCGGCCGTGGCTAACACTCCGGGGCTGCGAGTCGCAGGGCGCGGCGAGCGGCGCGCGTTGGACATCCTGTACGTGACAACGACCGTCATCACCGCCACACCGTGCACAGCGAGCGCGACGCGGTGAAAATCACAAAACATTTCCCTGACGGCCCGGTCGTCCCGGACGCGCCGCGCGTCCCGCAGCAGGATAAGTACCTCCCCTTGCTGCGCTGCGCGAAGCGCGCGGCCCGGAGGTGGTGCAAATCTCGCCTTTATTATGTACCGGCCGCGTCCCCCGCCGCCCCCACGACGCGGTTGTCGTTGTCGCTGCACGCGGTGGCACGGTGTGCGGCACGTCGCCGAGGGTCGTGACAGGTGCGCGCCCCGCCCACTCCTTGCAGAGGTGCCAGCGTAAACAAACGCGGCGTCAGGCGACGCGGGCCGCGCTGCCGCGTTGTTGTCGAACCTGCTGCAGTTGATCGTGATCGTGATCCAGGATCGCGCAATCGCCGGCAAGCGCCGCGTCGGCCGGAGGGAGGCCTGACTGCCTGACGGGGTGCGGGGAGGGCCAGGGCGAGGGGCGAGGCCGTGCAGAGGGGTGGCGCGGGGAGGCACTGCTGCTGCCCGGGCGGCTGGGGCGGCTGGAAGGGGTAAATATTTTTCTCTCTTTGGCAGGCCACGGTGACAGCTGACAGGCATGGGCGGGGCTGAGCCCGGCGTGGCGGGGCGTGGCGGGGCGTGGCGGGGCGCGGCGGGGCGCGGCGGGGCCTCCATAATAGAGATCGGAATCGCTTACCAATTTCAAAGACAGGCGGCGGCGCGGCGCGGTGCGGCGCGGTGCGGCGAGAAGTAGACAAGATGGTGGCAAATGGCGGCTCGCTGCGGAGCGCGGAGCGCACGCTGTGGACCCCTGGCCTTCCCCTTGCCCGATGGCAGGCAGGAAATTAAGCCACCCGCCCCAAAAAAAATAAAAAAAATAAAAAGGGGAGCGGAGAAAATAATGAATTTGAAAATGGCGCGCCAGTCCGCCAGTCGGCCCTGCGGACTGACCTCCGCCCCTTCGACGTCCTCCGCCGTCCTCGGCATTTCCGGGGAGCGGGACGGCCGGGCGGTCCGGGCGGTCCGGGGCCGCGGGGTTAATGGCGCCAAGATAATTGGTGGGCCGATCGCTTGTTTCCCGGCCGCCATGCCTCCCAGTGCCTCCGCGCCTCGCTCCGCGCCCCCGCGCAGGGAAAGGCGGAAATCAAACCCCAGAGGACGCCGACGACACGCGCCTCGCCGAGATAGAGGCCGACGCCGGGGCCGACTCTCTCAGCTCGGCCGATACCCGGTCAAACAATTCCAGCCCTCTTCGTTTTAAGTTTGACTGACTCCTTTTTTTAGGCTCGAATAATTTCGACTTTGAGCGTGACTTCTACACCCTGCCGATATACCCGATTGTGAGGTCGGGCATCACATGGGCAGGCGCGGCGCGGGCGCGATGTATAACTTATCGTTCAAAATGGAAATGAGCCACGGGCCGGCGGGCTGCCCGGCCCCAGCGCCCTCACCGAGGCCCTCGCCGTGGATCGCCACTCGCCGATACGGGGTGTCCGCGGACCGCCTCCGCCGCGCCTCACGAGAGCGAGAGCGAGATGGATGTAGGCGAGCACGCCGTCAATGGGATCCAGCCAAAGTCCAGAAGAAGCAGGGCATCGGCAGGCGACGTGGAGGCGAAGGCCATGGCGAAGGCCAGACACGAGGAGGAACCGGAGCGATACGGGAGCGAGATAGGGGAATTGCAGGAAAGCGAGACAAGGTAGGAGTTATGACACGCGGGCCGGACCAGGGGGCGGGAGGGGCGGGGCGGCGGAGGGGCGGCCAGGGTGGCAAAGTTGGTGCACACCCCTGATGACGGCTGGGGGGAGGGGAAGCTTTTCCTGCTTGATGTTGCCTGTGATCGGCTCTCACCCCCTCGCCCCTCTCCGGCTCTCTTAGGGGATGAAACTTGCCTCCGCCATACACACACCACACCGCCGCCCCCACCCCCGCCCGCCGCGACGGCCGCACCAGGGGTAGTCGCGTTGCCGCGTCCCCTGGGCACTGGCCAAGCCGTGGCGGAACCTCGCCCCGCGTCCGCCAGGCAGGAGAGAAAGAGACACAGACACTCGAAACTTGTTTTTGTGCGCCATGTTAATTGGGGTGGGGCTCGGGAACGACCGCCAGTTAGTTTGGAGGCGAGCCACACCTTCGACAGGTGGAGGGTCGTGGAGGGGAACGGCCTGGAGATGGCTCTTCTGACGTGGCGGGCGACGCGGGCGTGGGTGCTGGCACTGCTGGCCCGGGTACGTAAGGAAATGCGAGATGGAAATCTGGATGGGGTGCCCGGCGTTGGCGGCGTTGGCGGCACCGCCGGGCACAGCGGCAGAGAGAGGCAGAGCCAGGGCAGAGCCGGCGAGTAAAGATACCGGCACCGGCCCCACTGAGTGAGCATTACCGATATTGCAGTGCCATTATTGGGTGGGGCCGAGGGCAGCTGAGGGGCCCGCCAGGCCCGCCAGGTCCGCCCCACTCCCACCACCGTGACGCGAGGTGACAGCCCGGCCGTCCCCCGGCGGCGGTGCGCCTGACAAACTCGCACGCAAGCGGTCGAGCAAAACGGCGAACAAACTTGGCAGGCAGCGGCGGCGGGGCGGGGCCGGCGGGGCAGGAGAGTAATATTCAGGACATATATATTCCGTAGCTTTTGATCCAAACTTTCGCTCTCGATTCGGCCTGAAGTTGTAGCGGTCGATCTATCAATCCATTTATCCGCCGCCCCTGCCCACCCCGCTCCCCAGCCGCACTCTAAAGACACAAATTCAGATTCGGGGCGCCGCGCCACGCCGCACGCCGCAGAGTCGCGCGGCCCAAGTTGAGGTGAGGTTTCCGGTCGAGGACGAAATCGGGCCGAGGTCTGACGGAACTCACAATCCTGGCGGGGGATCCGACACCAGGAAGGCTCCTGCGGCTGCATGGCGTCGCGCCTTCACGCCGTCAGGACGCCGTCGCGGGGCACGACATGTACCCCCTGCTGGAGGCCCTCGGTAACCCCTTGGCCCCGTCAGCCCGCCGTCAGCCCCGTCGTCTCTCCGCGTATAATGAGTGCTGAGTGTGAATACATTTGTCAGCGGGGTGACGCGGCTTGACGATAAGACGGAGATGCTCGCTGACGGCCTTATGGGGCGACCAGGGCCGCGGCGTCGGCGGCACGACGCGGCACGACGGCGGCCCCGTCTCCAGGGGACAGTCTCCTTCGTTGAGGCCGCGAGGCTGCCTGCCTGCCAGACTGCCTGCCAGACTGCCTGCCAGTGCTGCCACAACGACCGCCGACATGAGTGTGAGCACACACCTCATACGTGCCGCATGCGCGCCTGGGGACCGCGGCGGAGGGAGGCATCAAGGCGGGCAGGTGCGGGGCGCGGCGGGGCGCGGCGGGGCGGGTGGCAGGAACAACACGACGACGGAAATGATTGAAGCGGCGCCGAATCATTAATAATAAGTGAGGCAATGGCAGGGGAATTATTGGGAATAATGGATGGCCGGGCAGGGGAAGCCCACCGCACTGCAAGCTGCACGCTGCGGATACGGAAGAGAAGTCTGTGCGCGTCTAATTCCATCCGGCCAAAGCCAGGACCGAGCCTCGCACCGAGCCCCGAACCCGGCCAAGCCCAAGCAGAGCCAAACGGTCCATTTCACAGCCGGGCCCGCCTCGGCCCGCCTCGGCCCGCCGTGCACTCGCGGACCATTGCCCGCCGCCATGGTCGGCCATGCTGGTGTTGTTGCTGCGCACAAAGGGGAGAGGGGGAGGGGTGAGCGGGGCCGCGCGGATAGATTCTCTCCCTTTCCTGTGAACGACAAGCAGACAATGAAAAACAGCCCGGCAAGTCAATGAGCTCGGCTCGGCAGCCGAAGCCAGGCCGAAGCTCCACAGCGCCGCAGAGCCACTTCCTCTCCCCGGCGGCCCCGGCGGCCCCGGCCCGCCCCTCCCACGCAACATTAAAACTCTCGACAAGAGAGAAAAGTTCAGAGCAAGATCCAAATGCTCAGTCCGGCCTGTATTTTTGTTCTTGTTGTCGTTGCTGTTGTTGTTGTTCAAGGTCGTCTAATGCGCAAAGTTATGAGCGTGTCTCCAAAAAGTAGTTAAGACTGCAGTTTGCTGCAGCAATGGGGAAGCATTTCCCTTTCCGGCGGCAGGACAATGTTCTCCAGGAAGCGGCGAGGCGAGACGAGGCGAGGCGAGGCGCGATCCCCGGGGTGACTGATGATGCCGCCGGCCTCGCCAGCAGCAGGCCTCGCCAGCAGCAGGCCTCGCGGAGGACAGGGCCCTGGGACTTCCCCGCTCGCGTCGGCAGAACGTCGCGTGGCTGCGGCCAAGGGCTGCGGCCCTGGAGGGCGTGCTGAGCGCTTTGGGGCCGGAGCCTCGCGGCGGAGCGAGGGGAATGGAGGGAGGAGGTGCCGATACTCATTAAGGCTGCTGGCTGCCGGTTCGCTGTGTAAACGAAAACTGTGACGGTCTGCGTTAATTGGCCTGGCTTACCTCTCGGGCTGCGCCTGGCTGCGCTGCTGCGCTGGGCTTGCGCTGCTGCGCTGGACTTGCCGGCCTGCTTGCGGTTCACGAGGCGCGCATCGCGCCGCCCTGGCTGCACTGCACGCTACTCGCCCTCCTTTTCGCCGTCACCACGGCGGTGGACATGGCCGCGGACGCGATCACGCTGGGGGACCATCACCGGGCTCGCAGCCTGGACGGGGTTGAGGCGTTCTGCCCTGGCGGCGCGGCGGGCCGGGCGGCCCGGGCGGAGCTCCGCTAGCGGGAGCGGGCGTACGGCGCGAGTTTGTTGTGGCGGGGCGACGAGAGCGAACTCGCGGCGGTGCGGCGGGCGTGCTGCGGAGGGCGAGGCGCAGACGGCCAGCAGGGGGTGGTGGACCGTGCAGCTCGGCTTCCAGCGCGAGACTGGCGCACTGGCGCGACGCCTCGCAACGCCCTCAGCGCCGCCCAGCCCAGCGTAGCCCAGCGTGCCCTGCGCCCCGACCGGGGTTAGGTCCCGCGGTGGAGGATAGCATGACGCCGCGCGCAGCGAGCCGCCCCGCCGTCCTGGGCCTACCTCACCGCGCCCCGAGCTGCCCGCCACCCCGCCCCGCCTCCCCGCCCGGGGCCCTGTCCGACCCCCTGTCCAGCCCTCTATCCCGATCCCCTTCGGCCACAGCGGGCTGATTTGTTTTTGCGGCTTCTTGCGTTGTTAATCTCCGACCGCTTCGGCCTTCGGCCCTTCAGCGGCAACGTTCCCTCATCACTGGTGTGGTCGCGGCCCCATTTTCTTCATCATTATTCCAGTGTCCGGCGGGAACTCTATTTTCACGTCTCGGCCAGTGGCATTGGTGTGTGATTGTGGCTTTCAGACGCGGTAGCCTCGGCGGTAACACGGTACCGCGGTATCGCAGCGGGCTGTTATTAATTTCCTGACAATCAGTCCATTTCTTTTGGTGACGGTTGTGCGCCTCGTGGAAAAGTGAGCCGAATGGTACGCCACCCGGCCGGTAGGCCGGTGAGATACGTAGGTGTAATGTGACTGGCGCGGCTCGCCCATACAATCCCCTGCCATCGGCGGGCGGTAACTGGCTGCCCACTGCCAGTCCCACCCCCGCACAGCACAGTCGTCCCCAAAGTCGTCACACCACACCGGGGGCACTACCGCACTACCGGCGCACTCTGCGGTCGCCCTAAGTAAGTCCGCCCGCCGCGCCGCCCACCCCGCCACCCCGCGGCGTCCGCAGTCCATAGCGCGCACCGCACGTGCGCCTGTGATGGGCCGTCAAGTATTTCAGGGAGAGCCAGGGAGAGGGCCAGGGAGAGCAGCAAGCGCGTGAACCGCCTTCTCCCTCGCACTCCTCGCGCTGCTGTCTCTCCAGCCCAGTCTTCTCGACACAGCACGGCAGTGCGGCGTGCCTATGTCGCTATTGGCAGGTTTAAGGTTTAAGGATGGACGTTCAACCGGACGCAGCAAAGGGGACGAGCCCCCACGACCCCCCTCCCCCGATGCCCCAAGGAGACAGCTTCCACTTGCCAATGCGTCCACTTTTGGAGCATGCAAAATCTCATCTTGTTTTTCATCCGCAGCTGCACTGTCGTCATGGGGCTGAAAGCTGAAACCACTCTGGCCGTCAATTTCATGATAATGAAGTACCGAAAGTACCCAGTGGTGGCCGAATCGTGTTGCCGGTCGGGGGCAGCTTGCCACTGCTCGCCACAACCCACAACGCCCTTGCCTGGTCGCCACGCCGGTCGGCCGGTCCCCCTCCCCTGCACAGTGGCCCCGTCCGAAGTGGGGTTCGGACCAATAAGCCTCTTACACAGCGCCGTGCTTCGGGCTGACCCAGGGAGCCCACGGTAGGTAGGGGCGTGCACTACGCGTCGCGTGGCATGATTGCCGCGGCTTGGACCATGGACGGGCCTTGCCTGGCCTTACCTGGCCTTGCCCGGCGTTGTTTCATGCTCATGTCCCTGCACATCCGACGCCCGAGCCACTGTTAGAAATGACGCCTCTGGTCCTTTGATGCTCAACTGTTATGCGTTTTCTCTTACTTTGCATTAGCCTTTCACGAGTTCAATTTAATTGAATCTATAATCATTAATTCTTTTTACTCAACAAATTGTCTTTCTGCAGACCTCTCTATCAACAAACTTCTGGTGTTTTCATTATACATTTTATTTCAATGCATTGAAGGTGTATGCTAAATAAAAGGCAACATTGAATCTTAAAAATATTTATTATTTTTGTTTCAGATGATCTTATAAATACATAGTACAAAAAGAGTTACAAATGTAGATCTAGCACATGAAAGAAAAGACTACATTAATACAACTTTGCAGGTCAATGAATAAATGCTATTCTTAATCTATAAAAAAAGTGATGCCGTCATGAAGTCATTTTACATAAAGGTTTGGAATAACTGCCCAGGATTGTCATTCTGGGCTACAATATGTAGTGTGATAATATGGTAAATGAATTTACCAATGCAAATATCCTTAACAATAATAAACCATGATTAATTAAATGATGAAATTTATAAGCCCTCTAATACACAAGCTCACACCGAGCAACAAAAATTAAATAAAAATCACTTTTAGGTAATCAGAAATGACAATCAAAAACCTACACCTTGATTGGTTTATCTGAGCGCGTAAAGAAAACGTAAGGTACTTTAGAAGTTGTTGTAGCCTCCGCCGCCACCCATGGGGCTGTTGAATCCCATGCCGCCGCCGCCGCCGCCGCCAGAAAAGCCTCGGGAGAAGTTGCTGCTGGCAACACCTGCAGAGCAAAATGGACCAAAATTACGGAACCGTCAATCGCACGTAGCTCGCACACAACCGCAAGTAGTGAGTGGAATTGTTGCCTCACCGTAGCCGCCACTGCCACCACCAAACCCGCCGCCGCCGCCGCTTCCGCCCATGCTGCCGAAGTCACCACCGCCGCCGCCTCCGCCGCCACCACCCATCGGGGGGCTGGGCGACGAGTTGAGGAAAAGCTCGATGTATCGGTGCTGCATGTTGCTCTTGTCCTTGGACATGGCCTTGACGGCGTCCTCGTGGCTGGCGAATTCAACGTCGGCCTCGCCAGACGCCCTGCCGCTGTTGTCGTACACGAGCCTGATGCTGGCGGGCACCATCGGCCGGAAGAACTCGGCGATGTCTGACTGCGTGGCGCGGAAGGGGAGGCCTCGCATGTGGATGTTGTGGCCGCCGCCACCGCCGCCGCCACCACCGGGGCCGCCGCTCCAGCCGCCGTTTCTGCTCATGCCTGGTCCTCCTGGGCCGCTGTAGCTGGGCTTCATGCCCATGCCTCCTCCGCCCATGCCGCCGCCCATTCCTCCGCCCATGCCACCGCCCATGCCGCCGCCCATTCCTCCTCCCATGCCGCCGCCCATGCCGCCGCCCATTCCTCCCATGCCGCCGCCGCCGCCGCCACGCATGGGCGAGGGTCCGGGGCCGCCGCCGGAGCGCATGCCACCGCCATTGCCCCAGCCGCCCCACGGTCCGGGGCCGTCATCATTGAAGCCGCCGCCGAAGTCTGCAACAAAACTCGACAAGTCAGTATAACGCCGCCTCCGTGGGTAGCCTGGGTCTGGTTGGTCTGCGACCCGATTCGACCGCCACTCACCGCTTTTCATGTAACGCCCCACCGGGCCGCCACCGCCGCCGCCTCCACCACCTCCGCCGCCGCCGCCACCACCGCGACCCATGTTGTTGAATCTGTTGGCGCCGCCGAAGCGGTCATTGCGGTCGTAGGGCGCGGGCCTGTTGCTGAAGGGTCCGGAGACCATGGGACGCATCTTGGGGCTGATGGCAGCGCGGACCTCGGCCAGGCTGCTGCGGAAAATCTCGATGTACCTGAATAAAGAAAACCAATATTAACGCTGCTTCCAAGTTAAGACTTCAAACATCGATAAATAGGTTTCTCTTTATTTAAAATTGTTTTTGAAAATTGCAACAAAAAAAAAAAACATTTTAATCTACCAAAGCAATTAATGCAATAAAACAGTGGATTTTAAATTTTGGTCTGGTTATCAGAACATTTTAGATTTTCCTTGAAAATAAAGTACATACAGAGTGAGGGCTGTGTAAATGCCACAATGAAATAAAATGCAAATGATCCATTGAATCAGATATATAAGATGTTAAGAGATATAAGAAAATTAATACTGTTGACACAGTGTAAAATGGTTGACGCAACATGTATCCATGATGATCAGTATTGTATCAAAAACTTATCATGAAACATTGAATAGATCAATGCTTTTGACACTGCCACAACCCCCAAAATTTAAGCGACCAGACAAAACCACCCACATAAAGATTTTGTGCTGAGTAAAATAATTCCAATATTTTCTGACAGGTGATTTCATAAACTGAAAATTTTCTTCAGGAATATTTTGAATAAATGCTTCAGTCATGCATGACTCAATAGGCAAATTCAAATTTAACTAGAGTTACAGATGCAAAAGAAAAAACAGAAAAATGAACGCTGAAGTAGACAAATGAAAGTGACAACTTTAAGTCAAATACGCGAAGATAAGGCTTCTTAAAGCACAAGGAACAGCTCAATAGAGATCACCTCGCACAGATGAGTAGTATTTAATCTCAGCAAAACACACTTCAAAGCTAACTACAACTAAAATAAATGAAATGGCAAGTTCTTCAAGGGGTAAAGAAAAAGAATGGAATCTTCACATGGGCTATTACTGAAATATGGATATGAAAGGAAAGCAGTGAATTCATAAGATGGAAAAAATCCAAACATAACTAAGCTTTGTGACGCAACAAGTTTAAGCAGGGTACCATAAAAACTTGGCACCCTGTGCAAATAATTGAACACGAGGTGAATATGCCGATTCGATCGCCAAAAAGGAACGAACGACGCACGCCACTTGTCTTTACCCAATGCAGAACTCAAGACAACCTTTAGACATGAGGTTCGGCCAGGCGACCCACCATACCAGCCCGACCCGAGCCCCGAGCCCAGAGCCCTCCTCCCGCTCGTGTGCCCTTGGGGCCCTTGGGGCCCTTGGCCCCGTCCGTCCCGCACCAGACGTCCCATGGATGTCCCATGGATGTCCCATGGATGTCCCATGGATGTCCCTTGGATGTCCCTCCGACGTCCACGTCGCCTCCCTCGGACATCCCTCGGCTGTGTCGTGCCGTTCCGGATATTCCGAACGCAATGGGGCATGGGCCGGGCCTTGGCCGGGCCCATCAGGGCAATGCGGCCAACTTACCCTCTCCTCTTAATTATAGCCTCCCTCACCTGAGAACACGCCCGCCTCCGACCCGCATGGCTGTCTTCAGTATACTTACAGAGAAGCATGCACATGCTCATACAGTCATGTATTGGCAATCCACTACAAGAGCCACATGAGGTGGGGAAGTGAGGACCCAACTAGTGCCTTGCACCCACTGCAAGTCATTCAGGATCAAATTTGAAAAATTTTCTCAATTCAGAGATGGGTCATAACAAAGTAATCCAAGAAAATGACAATGGACGAACTGGGTTCTGGCAGAAACATGAAATTACTCATGAAGCTAAAGAATTTTCAAACAGACCCAATCATAAAGTTTAAACATGATAACTGCTAGAAGACTAGAGGTTTTCACTTCCCACAACAGATGAGACCAGAAAAGATTTGACACTTGTTACTCAGCCACAGCATTAAGATCATTCCAACGTTTTACTCATTTACTTATAGCCCTCAACAAAAGAGATTTTTAAAAAAGTTCAGCAAACAAACTTTAAAATGCAAAGGTGAATGAATATAATATTTAAATTATAATTGGAAGATAATAAAAGGATTGTGAAAGTGAATGAGGTCATGCACAGGTGTGCTATGATGGAAGTTCAATACATCAAACACATTCAGTGGCAAAACGTCAAGATTCATTTCTTTACTGCAATAGATAAAATGCATGTATGGTGACAATGTGTCAAGCTTCCACAGGATGTGGGTCGGATTAAAGGCCTCAGAGGAGGATATGCATTAAGTATACTCAACAAAACAAGCAGCCACCTACCTTCCAGCCACCCAAAAAAAACCACAAATTAATGCCCATCGTGCAAGAACAACAGAAGTACCACTTCAATATAAAAATAACATACATAATAAAAATGCAAGAGAGAAAGAGCGGTGGAAAAGTGAGGACTGAGGGTGATCGTCCCACCCGCCCATCCATCCACCCATCCCTCCCGTCCCGTTCTCTTCTTGTCCCCACCTGTGTCCTATCTTCTCCTTGTGCTTCTCCATAGCTTTCTCAGCCATTTCTTTGTTTGCAAATTGTACGTAAGCCTCCCCCGAACTCCTTCCCATGTAGTCTGTTGGTATGGAAATCCCGTTGGGAACTATCTCCAACCCTACCCAACCAACCAATACAAGATGCCCATCAGCACACAGCAACAATTAATCAGAACAAGTAGTTGTGCAATCACCTACTAAGTTTGATGCAACAAGATAAATATTGGTAAGTACTTTGGCTCAGGAAGAAGGTTCAAGACTCAATATTTTAAAAACAAAAATGGTACAAGTAGTTTCAAAATGAGAAACTATATTAGCCAGGTATCATTAATTTACTAGAAATTTAAATAATAAAATGTAGGCAACAGCACAACTGCTCAAATCACAAGAACAAGGTAAATCATTTCACATAATTGAACACAGTTGAAAGATTGTCAGAAAAATCTTGATAGGCTTGTCACTGCTAAGGTTCATGCTGCATGCACAAAGCACACCATAGCCAACTTGTATAAAATGAGAGCAAATCTTATTATTAAATTCTGATTTCAATTTAAATGAAGCAAAGGGGAACTGTAGGAGGAATTCAACATGACAACAGAAAAGGTATTTGAAAAATGCAAACAATGCAAATGTTTTAAATATTCAATTGAATTTTATAAAGTCACAGCAAATTTTAGAAACCATCTTTTAAAACAAGACACACAGGTTGGAAGCTGATGCATGCTTAAAATTCAGCAATGTGGGAAAGATTTAACTGGACAAACACTAGGAGCAGAAAACAAGTAACAGTTTTTGAAGCTAGCAGTGACAAGCCCAAAAATATATTTGGTATAATTCTTTAAAATTAACAATCATCTAAGCAATGTAAAAATATATATAATTGCCAATGAAATCTAAAAGCACACAGAATGCAAAAAGGAAGGAAAGACAGCATCTCACTGAAAATTTGCTGTCATTTGACATTTCCTTCGGACAGGATATTTATTTGATCTTAGATTTTTTTAAGCATAAAAAAAGTAATTTTAAATTTTGAAATGCAACAATTAGTGAGCATTACACAAAGAGGAAAAAAGAGCAGGGATCAAAGTAATGCTTACCGTCAAAGAATTTTGCAATTTCATCTTTAGCACATCCAAAGGGCAGGCCTCTGAGCCTAATACAGGCATCATCAGCTGAGTCTTCAACTAAGAGGCCACTGCGCTTCACAACCCATTCCATCTCTGAGCGCTTAGCTTTGAAAACTATAAGAAAAGACATAGATCAGATCAGTTTATGTATTTAAAATATTCGGTTGTATGCATTTGCAGCATTTAATACCAACCACATACCTTCAATATACCGGTGGCCCATGTGATCACGGTCTCGCTTACAAGCCTTTTCAACATCTTCTTCAGACATCATTTCAACATATGCCTCGCCACTCGGTCTGCCTTCACGAGACAGTGTCATTTGAATGCCTAATTTGCCATTTTTGATGTTGCAGTCGCCTAAAGTAAAAAATAAAATAAAAGACTAGTATAATTAAGTCAAAATAGATAAGGATCAATGGATTGTCATAAAACTAACTGAAAAAGTTGTAGATTTCTCCCACTGTTGTGGACCAGGGGAGGCCGCGAAGTTTGACAACATGGCCCTCATCTTCAAGCTTGAGATCTTGTCCCTCATCCTCATCATTATAATAGGAAGTCATTGTGAGATCTGCAACAGAGAAAATGGAGGATTAGGTGTCTAAAAGTACTTCAGGACAAAAAAAAAACAAATAGAAGAGAATACATCAAAATTTAACATTCCTAGCATAAAATGCCATAAATTTGCTCCAAGAGTTACAGCTCCACCAACCAGAACAAGCCCACAGGCGAATATGCAACCTCAGGTTCAAGGAGTTGCGTCGGAATGCATGTATGTGCTAGTATCAGGGACCAGAAACACAAAGCTACATCAGCATAGCATACCCCTTCAGAAGAAGAGATGGGTGGTCTAACCCGCAGGACGCTTTGCCAGGCATAGGAAGCGCAAAAGTTACAAAAAGGGTGCATATGATTGGGATGGAAGGACTCAAAAGATACAATAGAGTGAGGAAAATTCGCAATCAATAGTAAATTAATACGTCGCTAGCTAGAGAAATTTCCAACGGGTTGCCTGGAAGGAAACTGCAAGCGCAGCCGGAATGATAGTCCACTTTGCGAGAGCAAAATGTATGATCCCTCTAAATGCTTAGTAAGAAAATACGGTACCTTGATGACAAGACTAGACCCCAAAACAACTTCAAGGACCCAGATGGTCCACCAGGTCACTAGCCTAGGAGAAATTAGAAAATGTTTGACTCTAGCCACTGAACGGCCGACCACCGGAACAATGGCGTCGGTCGCTTGGGAGCGCAGTGTTTTGTTTTCGTTTTTGTTACCTTTGGTTCTTACCCTTTTTCTTCACCCGCTGGTGGCCTTCAAAGGCGCAGCATTTTAAAAGGTCACATAACAAACTCGTCTCAAATGAGCCAGTAACTTAATTAAAAACTCTGTTTTACTCAATGAAGATAGGTAAAATTGGCTAATTTTGACAAAAGAGGTTCAAAGACAAGTCTATTATGTGACCTTTTTAAATGTCGCGCCTTTGAAGAAGGTTCTCGATTTGATCGTGTGGAGCGCCACCAGCGGGTGAAGAAAAAGGGCAGTAAGAACGCGAAACGACATCCCGCATGATGAAACTTTTGTATGGTGCACTTTCTTAAATTTGATGCCTGTGTCCTTTTTGTGACTTGTTTGTCGAAGAAACTACTCGTGGCGAATCCTGAAACATGTGGGCTGCCATCCGTATGCGCAGTGGCGTGTCACGAACGCTGTCCTCCGTGCAACAGCGATATGCGAGTACTTGGCGGACGACCAGTGTCGTCTGTTCGAGACAAACTCCAAGAGGAGTTTTGACACAAAGCCTGCAAGATAGCCGACGACATCTCTTTTCGTCAGCCAGGAGAGCTTTGAGCTCGATCCCTGGAAGCTCTGGAAGTGGCCAGGACGACGGGTCTGCCGCCAGTCCTGAAGAGGACTTCGGACCCATAACCCAGACGCTGCCGGCAACAGTCGTGGTTCCAGAAGTTTGGCCCAATGTACCCCTGGTGGCAATCGGCAGAAACCCGGTTTTTCCAAGATTTATCAAGTTGATTGAGGTGAGAAACCTCTCTTTCTATTAAATAGTTTTATTAATAGTGTCTGTTTTAATTTCTAGTTATTATAAATTTGTCAAATGTTTGTTCATGCATTGAGGGTCAGGTCAATCCCGCTTTTGTACTGAATGTATTATTCATTATTTCTTTGCTGTAGATATCTGATCCTATGCTGATGGATGTTATTCGTAGAAAAGTCAAGCTGAATCAACCATATTGTGGAGTGTTCCTCAAGAAAAATGAAGAGTAAGTTTTCACCTTTACTGCGCTGTCAATAGGTAAACGTTGTCTTAGTGAAAACATTTAAAAATGTCTTTCTTCTTCAACAATTTAGAAATGAGTCCCAAGTTGTTCAAAACTTGGATGATGTTTACCAGATTGGAACATTTGTTCAAATTCATGAGCTTCAGGATGTAGGAGATAGATTACGCCTTGTTGTAATGGCTCACCGAAGAATTAGGATAGTGAAACAAATTGCTGATGTTCCAGAAGAAGCACCCGAAGGTATGGTATTCTTTGTTCTAGCCTCTTCCTTCTTTTACTTTACTTAAGTTATGAGGGGTAATCCTACATTTCTATTCCTCAGAAATGAAACTCCGATTCCCTAATTCAACAATTGATGTTATTGTAGAGGACTCTGACTCTGACCGAAGAGGTCTTCGAAAGCGCCGAAAGAAGAGGCCTACCTTTGCCTCTGAGACTGATGGTGTGAAAATGGTTTCCGAAAAAGCAGATATTCCGGGCACTGAAACTGGGCCGATAGATGGGCTTCAAATTGAAAAAGTTGAAGATCTTAATGGTAATTCAGTGTCAGCTGATGGAGCTCAAGTAGATGATGTAAATGGAGCAGTTCTTATGGTAGAAACTGAAAATGTAGTTCACAATTCTTTCCGGCAAACTGAAGAAATCAAGGTTTGATCATTAGAATTTTTAATTATTTGTTTTTCATTACTGTTTTTACATTAGTTTAAAAGCGTTGTTCGCCCACTACAGGCGTTGACGCAGGAAGTCATTAAGACTATTCGAGACATTATCAACTTGAATCCACTTTATAAAGAATCGTTGCAACAAATGTTGCATCAAGGTCACAGAGTGGTTGACAATCCAGTGTACTTGTCTGATCTTGGTGCCGCGTTAACTGGTGCAGATCCAGCAGAATTGCAAGCAGTCTTGGAGGAAATGGATGTAAGGAACACTCAATGTTAAATGAATTGTGGTCACTGTCCTTTCCAAAATGTGAATTTGACTCAAATTGTATTTGTTTCAGATAAACAAAAGACTCCTCCTTTCTCTTGGCCTTCTGAAAAAAGAGCTGGAGTTAAGCAAACTGCAACAAAAAATTGGCAGGGAAGTAGAGGAAAAAGTTAAGCAACAACATCGCAAATATATTCTCCATGAACAGTTGAAAGTTATAAAAAAAGAATTAGGACTTGAGAAAGAAGACAAAGATGCAATAGGAGAAAAGTTCCGGGAAAGAATTAAAGTATGTGTACTTTGAATTTGTTACTTGTTCTTTAAGTTTGGTTTCCCTTGTTTTGTTGTTACATTACAAAGAATGATTTATATTGCAGGATAAGAATGTCCCGCAGGAAGTCATGGACGTGGTTGAAGAAGAATTAAACAAGCTGAGTTTGCTTGAAAATCACTCATCTGAGTTCAAGTAAGTTCACACATATTCTACTGCCTCTACATACTGTTTTTTATTTCAGTTACATAACTTTTCTTTTCTTTTTTTCCCCCCTTTTTTCTTTTAGTGTTACACGCAATTATTTAGATTGGCTAACTACCTTACCATGGGGAATTTCTAGTGAAGAAAATTTAGAAATTAATCGAGCTTCTGATATTCTTGAAGAAGATCATTATGGAATGGAAGAAATTAAGAAGCGAATTTTAGGTCAGGCAATACTTGTCATGCTTGTTGTAAGCATTAGGAGTAAGTTGCATTGCCTTAACTGACAATACAATCCAATTTTTGCATTTTGCAGAGTTTATTGCTGTCAGCCAGTTGAAAGGAAGCACCCAGGGTAAAATCCTTTGTTTCCATGGCCCTCCTGGTGTAGGAAAAACGAGTATAGCTCGCTCCATTGCTCGTGCCCTTAACCGAGAAGTTAGTTTCCTTCCCTTTTATAGTTAATGTAGAATACCACTTTGTTTTTTATATTTTTGTAAATGGGGTAATTTGCCATTGTCTTCTCTCAGTATTTTAGGTTTAGCGTTGGTGGTATGACAGATGTAGCAGAAATCAAAGGACATCGTAGAACGTATGTTGGAGCCATGCCTGGAAAAGTAATACAATGTTTGAAAAAAACTAAAACTGAGAACCCACTAATACTTATTGATGAAGTTGATAAGATTGGAAAGTAAGTGGCACATTTAATACAAATTGTCTTTATAGATTCATTGACTGTGATTCTTGCTTACAAAACATTCTCTTGTAGGAGTCATTCTGGTGATCCAGCATCTGCTCTTCTTGAAATGCTCGATCCAGAACAAAATAAGAACTTCCTAGACCACTATTTAGATGTTCCTGTTGACCTCTCTAAAGTAAGAACTGTTTTTAAAAACTATGTAGATTTAAATTTGATTGTTAAAAATGTGTATGTCTCTACAAGAAAGAAAAATGGTATTTATATTTACTCTTGTTTTTCAGGTGTTGTTTATTTGCACAGCAAATGTGATTGATAGAATTCCTGATGCATTACGGGATCGAATGGAACTTATTGAAATGTCGGGCTATGTTGGCGAAGAGAAACTGGCGATATCCAAGCAGTATCTTGTTCCCCAAGCCATGAAAGACAGTGGGCTAACAGAAACACATGTAATTTCCCTTCTCATACTTTTGCATCTTATTTTGCCTAGGAATTGCAGTCATAATTAATTTGTTTTATCATATTTCAGGTTTCTATCACTGATGATGCTTTGAACACAATTATTAAGTCATATTGTAGAGAAAGTGGTGTCCGAAATCTCCAGAAGCATATTGAAAAAGTTGTGCGGAAAGTTGCGTTTAAAGTTGTGAAGAAAGAAGGTGACCAATTCAGCATAGAGCCAAGTAATCTACAAGACTTTGTTGGTAAACCTGTGTTCACCCATGATCGAATGTATGAAACTACACCTCCTGGAGTTGTAATGGGACTGGCTTGGACCTCAATGGGTATGTAAAACCTAAGTTAAACAAAATCAACAGCAATTTTAAAGTCAAGGGAAGACCATCATTGTTGATATATGGTATGATTGCAATTTCTCAGGTGGATCTGTTTTGTTTATTGAAACCACTACCAGAAGAAGTACCCCAGTGGAATCTGATGACAAGAAGCCTGCTGCTGCGGGCTCTTTGGAAATCACAGGTCACTTGGGAGATGTCATGAAAGAATCTGCAAGAATTGCCTTGACTGTGGCTAGAAACTATATTTCTGAGAATGATCCAACAAATAAATTCCTGGACACTGCTCATTTACATTTGCATGTGCCACAGGTAACGTAGAATTGTTGTCTTAGTTTTAAATAATGTAAAAACAGGCAATCTTTAATCGACCACAACCTTACTGAAAATGTCTGCACAGGGTGCTACACCCAAAGATGGACCCAGCGCTGGCTGCACTATTGTGACTGCACTTTTATCACTTGCCAAAAAGAAACCAATTCTCCAAGATGTTGCCATGACTGGAGAGGTATCACTGACAGGAAAAATTTTGCCTGTTGGTGGAATCAAAGAAAAAACCATTGCTGTGAGTAAAGATTCCTCATCACATGAGAAAATGGGCTACATTTCACTTATTAAAAGGATATCTCTGATTTTAATTTTCAGGCCAAGAGAGTAGGAGTGAAGACAATAATTTTGCCAGAAGAAAACAAGAAAGATTTTGATGACCTACAAAAGTATATTAGTGATGGACTTGATGTGCACTTTGTTAGTGACTACAGTGAAGTTTATAAAATTGTTTTCCCCAATGAAAACTGATCCCTCATCCATAAGTTTGAAAGTGTTAAAGCCATTAACCCTGTACTGTAGGTATATGTGGCAATGTGTGAATGAAGTATTACCACATTCTCTTGTATGTAACATTTATGACATCAGAAGTGCTTCTTATGAATGAATATTGGTTCAAATGAACATTCCTCATAATTGATTTAAACTGAAAAAGTTCAGTACTGTTTCTGTTCATCACTTTACCCCTTGATTGTGACATGTATAGGAATTAAGTCCACTGTAGAAAGTCAAGAAGACCTTATTTGCTAAGCCACTAGAACTTATTTAGAGAATTATGTTATGAATGTTTTACTGAAACCTTGACTGTGTTCATGTTTTCTCTTGTTTCTGGTAGGATTCTTCCTCCTATGTTAAAATGGTTTGAGGATGTCCGACCAATTTGTTGATTGTTACAACTCTGAGGGCGGAGGTCTCGTGTGGGCTCCATCCTGCCCATATCATTCTGTTAATATTTTTTATCTTTCAATATAATTATTTATTTTTAAATCACTAGTGGTGCTGATTTGTCAGAGCTGCCCTCCCAGTGGTGGACTTCCCTCCGCGTGCCATGGGCGCTCGCGCTCCCTTCCCTGTGCGGGACATGCGGGGCTGTCTGCTGTCGGTGCCTCGCGCCCTCGCGCGCGAAGGACAAGCAGTGCAGGTGCGCGGCGATGACCACCACGTCCAAGTTCTTTACCTGGCCGCCAGGAGGCAGCACCATCGCGCAGCGTCAGCAGCGGCGGCGGTCGGGGCTTTGGGGGCCGTGCCGCCGTGCCCGTGCTGTGCCGCGGGAGAGGGACGGGGGGCGGTAGGTCGGGACTGTCGGGGCCCCGCTCCCCGCTGCTCGCAACCCACAGCTCACCTCGGCTGGCTGGCGCGACTCCACTCCACTCGCCTAACCTCATTTCGGAGAGAGACTCGGTGCGCGGAGGACGTGACGGAGGCCGAGTTGCGCTGCCGTGTTGCTTGGTTACGGGCCACAACAGAAGCGTCGCGTCGTCGCGTCGTCGGGCCTGGTGGACTTGGACGTCACTCAGCGGATAATGGCCGTGGATCGATTGGTCGCGCGCGTCCCGAAGGTCCCGAAGCCCAAGCTGGCCGTCAGCTCCGCGCCGTGCCAGTGTCCAGTGAGGTGTTGAGTGCGTCAACTAGTTCGCGCGTGTCTGTGTGTCTGAGTGCCCCGAAAGCAAGGTTAGCCCACTTGTCCAGCAGTTGGCAGCCCAGTGTCCTCGCGCTCCCGCCCCGATCCAGCTGGAGTTTCCCCGTGGCTGTGCCGCTCGGCGAGGCGCACCCGCTCCAGGCAGGCGAAGCGCGAAGCAGGCGATGCAAGGTGTTGGCATGCCCGGCCGAGCCGAGCCCGCGCTGTCACTGAGCAGCTGACGCAAGGCGTTGGGGCGGAACGCAGCGAAACGCAGCGAAAGCCAGGCGGGCGGACGGCGGCACGGCAGGTTCCCGCATCGCACGTTGACGTTGTTGTCACAGGCCTGGCACCTGCGGGAGCGGGACCCCTGCGGGTACGGCACCACGGCGTGCCAGGCCTGGAGGCAAGTGTCATTGTGCGGGAAGGTCGCAGGCCTTTGTTGGAGCTGGTCCAGTTGGCCGGCCGCGCCGCCCTGCCCTCCTAGGCAGGTGCCAAGACCGCCAAGACGCGCACAAGGACGCCTGGGAACCGATAGCCAGCCAGCGCATCCGTCGTGCTGCAGCCCTCGCCGCCCGGAGTGAAAGCCCCAGCCCGCGTGGATTGCGCGGAGAGCGCTCGCTCTGGAGCTGGAGGCTGCGCGGCGCTCGTACGCGGCGCCGACTATGCAACGCACGCCGCGCTCGCCCGCAGCCGCAGGGCGGGTACGCGTGTGGGCGTGTGCAGTCGGTTCCGAGTAAGATTGCCGTGTCAGTTAAGACCCAGAGCGCCACGCACGCCGCGCCGGGCGAGGAGCGCGTTGAAAGCTGGACTGCCAGCGCCGAGACAATGACACTCCAGCCACAGACCTCCCCGCTGGAAAGTCCAGTCGCCCTAAGCTCACTTTGTGTACCCACAGCCCAGCCCAGCCCGCGACAAAGTTGGATTACGCACGCGGACTCTACACCGCGGCCACGATTCTGCTCCTCACTCGAGTGGAGGTAAGTCTGACCACGGTGTGACGCCGCTTGGACGCCCAGCGGAGCGGACCTTCGCACCGACCGGCACCGACCACGTGGACCGCGATGCCGTGTTGATGAACGAGGTGGCGGCCAGTCACGTCCGGGTCGCCGCCGTCGCCGCCGTGGGGGCCGAAGCGTACTACAGCACCACTGACTCACGCTGTCTCAGCCGTCGCCGCGAGCAATCATGAGGCAACCGTCCACCAGAAAGAAAGGAGCGATAACTGGGCCATCATGGTGCATGCGGGCCGAGGCAGGCACACCTGTTAACACATGCTGACGACACACGTGCCTGCTCCTCCACCGCGGCGGCACGCGGCGGCCGCCCCACCAGAGCGGCGTCGCTGTCGTCGCTGTCGCCGCGGTCAGCAGGACAACAAACGCACCGCGCGTGGCATGGCGGCGTGGCGCCACTGCCGGCCTCTGCCCTGTTTCTGTTCCGAGGGGGCAGTGGAATGGAAGGTCAAATGAGTGAGTGGCGGAGTGTCGAATGTGCGCCGCAATTTGTGATGTCACTTGGGCGCCTCATCGTCGGTGTGCGCGGCGCGGCTGTGTTTTGAGCGCGCAGCGGAGTGCTGACGGGGTGACGTCACCCTTCCGGTGTCCGCGCTGTCGGCCCGCCGCGGCCCACGCTCCAGCGGGGCTCCGGCACTCGCTCCGGCACCGGGCGGGGCGCCGGCCGTCATGGGGCGCAAGCAGATGCGGCAGGTCGGGGCAGTCAGAAGGTTGATCCCGACAGGGCTTCGTCGCTGTCTCTCTCGCACCTGTGCGGGACGACTCGAGACAGCGAAAGCGGCAGTGTTCGGAACCGGCCTGCACAGAGGCGCGAAAGGCCTGCAGCCGGACGACTGCCAAAGGCAGAGGCGAGGGCGTGGTAGGGCGTGGGGCAGGCCAGGGTGGCGGCTGGCTGTCAAGTGACACTCCACGCCCTGCGCCAGTGACCCAAAAGTCGCTTCGGAGGAAAGCGAGGGTCGTCACCGTCGCCGCCGCCACGCGCGGGGAATTTGAATTAGTCCCCGAAAAGCCCCCCGCCGTCGTGGCGTGGCCTCGCACCCGGACCCCGCCAAGGCGCCGCCGTGCGGGTTAGGCAACCGGAACGCAGTGGGGTGTACAGTGTGCTTACTACCACGCCGAGCTTGTCCGGGCTTCACTTTCCATTTCGGGAGCTTCCCGGGCGGGCGAGGCGTTTGCCGCTTCCGGAGAATTGATTAAGAGGAAGCTCGCCGAACTGGCGCGGCGGGCTGGCGGGGAAGTGCGTGCCGCTGGCCGCTGGCCGCTGGCTGGCGTGCGGGCCGAGCAGCCCAGTAGCAGAGGCAGGCTGCAATCTGCACTCACGCGAGAAGAGGAAACGACGAAAGATGATTGGCTGGCGTTCAAGTCTCTCCGAATCGCGCCTGCCTTCCGGGCCTCCGGGCCTCCGCCTTCGGGTTCAAACACCGGGTGGGTGCCGCGGGTCGTTATTTTCATGCGCGTTTCAGCGCGGCCACTGGGTCACGCTCCACGCCGCGCCGTGTGTTTTGCTCACGCCGTCTCTCTCTCTCTCTCTTTCTACCTCTCCCTCGCGCCGTGGAGCGAGCTCTAGCGCGAGCCAGACGGAGACCACTGCTGCTTGGCGGTGTAGCCGCTCGCACTGGAGCGTTCACGTTCACACGCCGTGTGCCTGAGTGCGTGTGCCGGCCGTGCCGGGCCGCGGAGTGCGGTGCCTGGAGGTATAAAAGGGGGCGGGCCGCGGAAGTGGCGGTGCCGTGCTGCTGCTGGACACTCTGGACCTCGTTAGTGACTTTACACTCCACCCTCGGCCGCCAGTCCCCGTGTGCTCCGTGGCAGCTCACCGCGCCGTAGGCCAAGACGTCCAAGACGTAGGCCAAGCCGTAGGCCGATCCGTAGGCCAAGCCGTAGGCCGTAGGAGGCTAGTTCAGACCGGCTATACTTAGCCCGCGCCTCGCGTAGCGTAGCGTCGCGGCCAGGCAGTGAATGGAGGCAAATCAAATCTCGCCGTCCGTCCTCCCTGTCCCTCCAGCGGGCCGCGCCGCCGCGCCGCCGCGCCGCGGGTCTAGACGCCCTTGGCTGCCTTGGCCAGCCCCGCCTCGTGGAGTTGCGGTGTGAACCGGTGCGAACTTGAGATTCGCTGCACCGACCAATCGTCGTAGGCGCTGCTGCTGCTGCCCGGCCGCGCGCCGCCGCCACTTCGTCCACCGCCTGTCGGCAGAGGGCGGAGGGGCACATGTTTTCCCAGCACGCCAATTCTTTTCTTTGTTGTCAAAATGCTGCATCCGCTGCGTGTCCGCGTCCTCCGCTGTCCTCTGTGTGATGTCCGCTGACGGCGGTCGACGCCCCCCTCCCCTCTCCCCGCCTGCTCCTCACTTTCTCTGGCGCCGCATCGCGCTCTCGGCTTGTCGTGCAGTGCCCCAGCCTGGCCGGCACGCCAGCACGCCAGGGCGCGGCCGTAAGCCGCGAGCCGCAGCCTCTGCTCAGACCCCCAGCGGCCAGCGACCCTCAGTCCGATAGCATTTCTTCTACCCAAGCTGAGACAAAGCTGCGCAAGCTTGGCCAAATAAAGCACGCGAAAATTATGCCGGAGTGGGCGCGTGTTATCGCAAGGCTGCTTGCGCGTCGCGTCCGCGTTGGCCAAGCCGCCCGCTTCGCCTCGCTCAAGCTGCAAGCTCTGGATATGGGCCGCGCTGCCGCGCTGGACAAGCAGGCGGCCAGGCCTGGGCCAGACGGGCACGCACCGCCGGCTTCCTGCACACCGCCCCGCACCGCCTCCGGGAGATGAGGTCCTTAATTCCAGCGCAACGATGGGCCAACCGGCCAACCGCGCTCGACTGCAGCGCCATTGCGGACGGTCACTCATGGGGCGTGCCGCCTGGTGCCGCCGGGTGCGAGAGAGACGGAGCGACGCAGCACTGCTGGGCCTGGAGTGGGCGGCGGGCCTGCATCGCCTGCATGCCGATTGGCTGATTCGTCGTCGGGATTAGCGCGAACCGCGGCGTGCGTCGACTAGCGTCGGCTTGTTTGCCGCCGCGGAACCTCGGCGCGCGGTGGGCGGAGTGTGTTATGCCCTAGTCGGCCCTGCTCCGTACTACGCTCGGCCCTTAATGTAGTCTCCTCCAATTCGTGCCGTTTACCTCGCAAGCCTGTGCCAGAGGCCGGTGCGGGGGCGGACGGGCACACCGCGGGCACGGCGTGGACGCCGTCAAGGCCGTCGACGCCACTGCGACGCATGCGGCACGCCGGGGCACGCCCCCCGCGGCGCGCGCTCTGGGATGGCGTTGTTTTCCACGCGGCCCGCTGCGTCGTTATCCTGGGGGTGTTTCCATCGCGCTCCCCGGGGACGCCGCGAGGGCATGACGTCGACGCCTCACACCCGGCCGAGCCTCGCTGTGGCCTCCCGACAGGACGGCAGGTGACCAGAGGCGCCGACGCCCGTGAGAAGGCCCTCGGCCGGGCCCTTGGAAGGGCCTTGCAAGGGCCGCCGCGCCGCCGGATGTGTGTTGAATCGGACGTCCTTCTCACTTAAGCCCTTAGCCCAGTGGTTCTCAACCTTAGGGTCGCGACCCCAAGCGGGGTCGCGAAATTTTTTTAAGGGGTCGCGGCAATGCTGGGGTCGTGTTTTAGGCTGATTTTAAGCAGCCACTGCGTCTGATCCGAGGCGGGCATTTTGCTCCCTCAACGGGCAGTTGGTCTTTGGACCTTCCTTTAGCATGCCTTTGTTACGGAGTGCAATTATCAGTCTTAGTTTGGGAGCAGTATTGTCTCAAAGTTGGCCAAAACGCTCAGAAATGTCTATGAAAAATCGTGTTTTGGGCCGATTTTAAGCAGCCACTGCGTCTGATCCGAGGCGGGCATTTTGCTCCCTCAACGGGCAGTTGGTCTTTGGACCTTCCTTTAGCATGCCTTTGTTACGGAGTGCAATTATCAGTCTTAGTTTGGGAGCAGTACTGTCTCAAAGTTGGCCGAAACGCTCAGAAATGTCTATGAAAAATCGTGTTTTGGGCCGATTTTAAGCAGCCACTGCGTCTGATCCGAGGCGGGCATTTTGCTCCCTCAACGGGCAGTTGGTCTTTGGACCTTCCTTTAGCATGCCTTTGTTACGGAGTGCGATTATCAGTCTTAGTTTGGGAGCAGTATTGTCTCAAAGTTGACCAAAATAGTCACAACGGTTTTTCAAAGACACTTGCGACCGTTTTGATCGACTTTGAGACAATACTGCTCCCAAACTAAGACTGATAATCGCACTCCGTAACAAAGGCATGCTAAAGGAAGGTCCAAAGACCAATTGTCCATTGAGGGAGCAAAATGCCCGCCTTGGATCAGACGCTGTGGCTGCTTAAAATCGGCCCAAAACACGATTTTTCATGGACATTTCTGAGCGTTTCGGCCAACTTTGAGACAATACTGCTCCCAAACTAAGACTGATAATTGCACTCCGTAACAAAGGCATGCTAAAGGAAGGTCCAAAGACCAACTGCCCGTTGAGGGAGCAAAATGCCCGCCTCGGATCAGACGCAGTGGCTGCTTAAAATCGGCCCAAAACACGATTTTTCAAAGACACTGCTGACCGTTTCGGCCAACTTTGAGACAATACTGCTCCCAAACTAAGACTGATAATTGCACTCCGTAACAAAGGCATGCTATAGGAAGGTCCAAAGACCAGTTGCCCGTTGAGGGAGCAAAATGCCCGCCTCGGATCAGACGCCGTGGCATGTTAAAGGAGGGGTCCCGTGGGGTCGCGAAATTTTTCCTGGGGGTCGCGGAAATTTTTGGCTTTAAATTTGGGGTCGCGAGCCGAGAAAGGTTGAGAACCGCTGCCTTAGCCCTTCCTTCGCGCGGGGATAGTGTGTTGTCCTGCTGCGCACGCTGCGGTCGGCGGCCAGCCTCGCCTCGCCCATCTGTGGAGTACCCCTTGATGGGGGAAATCGCGCGGCAAGCGGCTAGCGACTAGCGACCGGCCGCGGGGCTTCCCACTGGATTCCCTC